GCGGCCGCTGCTGGGCAGGCGGTTTTGTGTCTTCAGTGAACAACGTCCGCGGCGACGCAGAGAGCGAGTCCTGCTCAAAATGAGCAGGAACTGCTATTGGGCATCGTATCCATTTCGGGGGCGCGCCAACATGGATCGGGGGAGGTGCCCTCCCCAAAATGCGATCCGCGATTTCCCATGGAAACGGGACCCGTCGCTAATCCACGCCCCCTTGATCCATGCTTAGGGAAACGAATACTGAAGTAAACACAACAACTCGGAGGTCCGCCGCGGATCCGAGACATCCGCGCGGACCTCCGAGTTTCTCTGTTTGTGTCACTCTTCGCTCCCCTAATGTTTGCGATCGCCTGAGCTGCCGTTGGGCATCGTACCCATTCCACGGACCCACGGACCCCGAATCCGTGTTAGCGCATCCTCCTCCCTCCTCCTCCCTCCTCCTTATTCTACCCTCCTCCTCCTCCTCCCTCCTTCTCCCTCCTCCTCCCCCCTCCTCCTCCCTCCTCTTCCCTCCTCCTGCCCCAGCTCAACCCTCCTCCGTCCCCACTCCGATCGGCCAGAACCACCCTGCGGATCACCCCTCGGGGCGGAAGCCGCGCCGCCGCCCCCCCCCCAAATGCGCACCTCCCCCCCTGCGGAGCGGAGGCGTGGGGGCGAGGAAGGGCCCCCACTGCAGAGGGGCCCAGGGAGACGCAGACCAGTCTGGAAGAAGGAATGATGGGCCCCTGTTCCACCACCACTGCCATGGGCAGTAGAGGGAGGAGAAGGAGGAGAGGGAGAAGGAGGAGGAGGAGGAAGAGAAGGAGGAGAGGGAGGAGGAGGAGGAGGAGGAGGAGGAGGAGGAGGAGGGGGAGGAGGGGGAGGAGGACCTCCTCATCCTCCCTTCTCCCCCGTCCTACATCTGGTAGTGGCGGTGGTGGAAACTTCGCCCGTCAAGGAAACAATTGCATGAGGATAAACTTGTGGCGCTCCGCGCGGACTTCTTGGACCTGCGCTAGTGAAGGGGCCCTGGGACACACAAATAAATACACACAAATTAAACAGATTCCCATGTTTTCCATATGTTCTGCGTTTTTGTCTTGCCGCCCACTTCCCACATTTTCCAATATTTTCTTTGGAATCGACGATTAATTGTGTCAGTGTTTTTTTGTTGTCCCTCCTGATCTTGGACCTGCGCTGGAGCCCCCTCCCTGGCGCGCGGAGCGCGCCAGGGGCGGCGCCTCGGAAGGGCCGCCGGAGCCCAGGCGCGGATCCAAGAGATCCGCGCGGAGCGCGGGAAAGGTTTATGTTCATGCCGATGCTTCTTCTTTGACCTGTCGGCACACATGCCAGGATCCCAGAGATTTGTCCATATGTTCTGGATGTTCATCTTCATCCTCATTCCCCAAAGTTTCTCGGGTGGTCCTGGGATCGGCGCTTGTGGTGGCTGTTTCTGTTGGTCCTTCCTGAATATGTTCCACAAAGCTGCCAAGGGCTGGGCCCTTCGCAAAGCCAATTCGAAGAGTTCTCGCCTTCTCGCTCGCGATGGTAGCTCCACGATTAGCCGTGGGAGCCCCCAAGAAAGGCCCCGAACATCCAATCGCGGGCCCAGCAGCGCCCCAGGACGTGATATTCAGGGACCCGAAGGCATCCCGAACTAACCAGAGATTGCCCTGCGAAACTCTCCCAAGAGGCTCCAATGCCGGAAATTGCGGTTACTCGGGCCGGTCACGAACTTTGGTTTGACAGCTGCCCCCCCCTCTGGGTTCCACTGCTTGCTCCTGCACATCCTCGATCAAGGCAAAATGCTTGGCATCGTATCTCGATGGGCCGCTGGGCATATGCGAAGCGTCGAGAACTCGATGCGAGATCATTGAAACGAAATCCGTCCCTAAAACATCAGTTTCAGACCAGGCAGTTGTCGACGGTCCTGGAGACCGCAAACGACCCCTAGAGGAATCTAGTTGCTCATCGAGCGTCGCTGTCAAAGATTGTTCACGCGTTGTCTATCCGCGTCCCAACACAGTCCTGATCCTTCTCTTCCTCCTCCTCCTCCTCCTCCTCCTCCTCGTCCTCCTCCTCCTCCTCCTCCTCCTCCTCCTCCTCCTCCGCCTCCTCCTCCTCCTCCTCCTCCTCCTCCTCCTCCTCCTCCCTCTCCTCCCTCTCAAAGAACTGTCAGGCGAAACATAGGGAGGCTGAGAAGGAGGACCATGATGAACCAAAGATGCATCGCAGTTCACCCAGTCGGTTAAACAGAGATACCACAAACGCACTCAGGTCAAGACTCTGGAAGTCTACGGGCCTGCTCCCCCCAACCGCTGGCTGCCGGCGCGTCGAGAACGCCAGCCAAAGGAGTTCCGAGGGCGCGGGGAAGGAGGAGGGGAGAGGGGGGAGAAGGGCGGAGGAGAGGGAGGAGGAGAAGGAGGAGGAGAGAAGGAGAAAGAGGGGAGAGGAGGCGGAGGGGGGAGGCGGGAGAAGAGCGGAGGAGAGGGAGGAGGAGAAGGAACGAGCAGGGCTGCGAGGGCGGCCTGCGTGTCGAAGGAGGGGGGGGGGCCCTCGGGGAATTTCCGCCTCGCTGCGAGCGCCCAGCCCCCCCGGAAGCGGCCCGCATGCCAGTGCGAGCGGGCGGCGCGCGGAACC